GTGATTAATCACAAAAACAATATGTAATTATATATGTGTTTTCCGATGGTCTTAGGCAACCCTTGTGAAAGGGTCATTCGACCCCCAAAGGGGTCGTGACCCACAGGTTGGGAACTGCTGCTCTAGTCCAAGCACTAGGATTTGGGAATCACTGCTATAAATCAAAATAAAAGAATCTCAAGCAAAGAAAATAAAAATTTTTCTGGTTATTAAGGAATATAAGTCACCATGGAACAACATAAGGAATATAAGTTGGCAAAATACATAAAGTATCAATTAAAAGAACTAGAAAAGACAATAGAATGTTGGACCAGAGCCTACCCAATATAAACTTCAGGCAAAGTTTACTCGTTGGAACTTAGCTTGAGATATCTATCACTCATCCTCATGATGACACTGGCATAATGAAGTCATAAAATATTCTAATATCCTATGACTAGAACTGGTCTCTATCATTCTTACAGTTATCTTGGACCTCAAGGGACCATAGGGCAGTAAAATAAAAAATATATACTAGTGGTTATAGCAATATACTCAGTAATAAAAAAAGAAATAAACTGATAAATATAACAATCTAGACAAATCTTAAAAATATCTTGCTGACTGAAAGAAGTCAGACACAAAAAAGACACATACATACTATACAACTTAATTTATATGAAACTGGGGGCCCAGTGCACAAATTCGTGCACAGGTGGGGTCTGGCTGGGCCCCCGCCCCCGGATCGGGGGGGAGCCAGCTGAGGGGAGGGGCCGTGGGCGGTTGGCCAGCTGGCCCCACCCCTGGTTGAACTGGTTGAACAAACAATTTGCACACTAGCCTTTTATTATATAGGACTAGAGGCCGAGTGCACAAAAATTTGTGCACTCAGGGGGTAGATTTTTGCTTTGTTCAGAGCTGTGAAGTAGAGCTAATATTTCAGACCAGGATACCCTAGAATGACCTAATCAGTGGCATTCAGTACATAAACTTTACCCACAATCCAAGTGTCTAATGCTCATGAATCAGATAATTGATACATATAGAACTTCCCTATAGCATTCGTATGTTCAGGAAGAAAAACAATAGATGCTAATATGAAGACCTGGGTAAAAAACCCTGTGTATCATTGTAAACCTCACTTTTCTTATTATAAAATAGGGGTAGTTATAAAATCAATAAAAGCAATATGATGT